ATGGGAAATGTACATGGGTAGTGCCTTAGGTGGGTGCCTGGCACAGAGGAGACGAAATGCCACGAGGCAGGGAGGGGCCTGGGGACTGAATACGGAGAGCGCACATCTGCTGGGTGGGCCTGGCCACGTGGGTGCCAGTTGAGATGGGCAGGACACTGACAGCTGTGTCCCAAATGCTTACGGCCAAGAGGCACCCACCCATCACAGAATGCAGGCGCCTGTGATTCACAGCGCTGGGGTGAGGTGGGGCAAAGACAGACCTCTACAGGCGCAGCAAGAGGCTGCAGAGTTGGGAAAGGCATAGGCCCTTCTCAAGGAGTGAAGGGCGGTCACGTCAACTGAAGAGCAGGACTGAGGTCCACAGCTATTGAGAGGGACCATTGGGAAAGATTGGATTAAGACTGCAGAGAAACCTGCTTCCTGGCTCATGGGTCCATGCTTACGATGGAGTTGGAGCCGAGATAATGGTCATCAGTGCAGTCCTTCTGGAAAGTTCATCTGGTGTGCTGGGGTTGGTGCTGGGAGGTGATCATGTTTGGTCTCATCCTCCGCTACTGTTCAGCCCCTTAGAACCCAGCTTTTGATTCTACCACACTCAAAACTACTTTCTTGAGTGTCACCAATAATCTTCTCTTTGCCAGATTAGGTGACTTTTTATAAGTCCCTGCGATCCTGTGCATAGTTAGAATATTGGATAGTGGTTAAGAGCACAGTTCTGGAGCCAGAGGAACGTGACTTTTTTCTTTTTTAACATCTTTATTGGGGTATAATTGCTTTACAATGGTGTGTTAGTTTCTGCTTTATAACAAAGTGAATCAGTCATACATATACATATGTTCCCATATCTCTTCCCTCTTGCGTCTCCCTCCCTCCCACCCCTCCAGGCAGTCACAAAGCACCGAGCTGATCTCCCTGTGCTATGTGGCTGCTTCCCACTAGCTATCCACCTTACGTTTGGTAGTGTATATATGTCCATGCCTCTCTCTCGCTTTGTCACAGCTCACCCTTCCCCCTCCCCATATCCTCAAGTCCGTTCTCCAGTAGGTCTGTGTCTTTATTCCTGTCTTACCTCTAGGTTCTTCATGACATTTTTTTTTCTTAAATTCCATATATATGTGTTAGCATACGGTATTTGTCTCTCTCTTTCTGACTGACTTCACTCTGTATGACAGACTCTAGGTCTATCCACCTCATTACAAATAGCTCAATTTCGTTTCTTTTTATGGCTGAGTAATATTCCATTGTGTATATGTGCCACATCTTCTTTATCCATTCATCCGATGATGGGCACTTAGGTTGTCTCCATCTCCGGGCTATCGTAAATAGAGCTGCAATGAACATTTTGGTACATGACTCTTTTTGAATTATGGTTTTCTCAGGGTATATGCCCAATAGTGGGATTGCTGGGTCATATGGTAGTTCTATTTGTAGTTTTTTAAGGAACCTCCATACTGTTCTCCATAGTGGCTGTACCAATTCACATTCCCACCGGCAGTGCAGGAGTGTTCCCTTTTCTCCACACCCTCTCCAGCATTTATTGTTTCTAGATTTTTTGATGATGGCCATTCTGACTGGTCTGAGATGATATCTCATTGTAGTTTTGATTTGCATTTCTCTAATGATTAATGATGTTGAGCATTCTTTCATGTGTTTGTTGGCAGTGTGTATATCTTCTTTGGAGAAATGTCTATTTAGGTCTTCTGCCCATTTTTGGATTGGGTTGTTTGTTTTTTTGTTATTGAGCTGCATGAGCTGCTTGTAAATTTTGGAAATTAATCCTTTGTCAGTTGCTTCATTTGCAAATATTTTCTCCCATTCTGAGGGTTGTCTTTTGGTCTTGTTTATGGTTTCCTTTGCTGTGCCAAAGCTTTGAAGTTTCATTAGGTCCCATTACTTTATTTTTGTTTTTATTTCCATTTCTCTAGGAGGTGGGTCAAAAAGGATCTTGCTGTGATTTATGTCATAGAGTGTTCTGCCTATGTTTTCCTCTAAGAGTTTGATAGTTTCTGGCCTTACATTTAGGTCTTTAATCCATTTTGAGCTTATTTTTGTATATGGTGTTAGGGAGTGATCTAATCTCATACTTTTACATGTAGCTGTCCAGTTTTCCCAGCACCACTTATTGAAGAGGCTGTTCTTTCTCCACTGTACATTCCTGCCTCCTTTTTCAAAGATAAGGTGACCATATGTGTGTGGGTTTATCTCTGGGCTTTCTATCCTGTTCCATTGATCTCTCCTTCTGTTTTTGTGCCAGTACCATACTGTCTTGATTACTGTAGCTTTGTAGTATAGTCTGAAGTCAGGGAGCCTGATTCCTCCAGGAACATGACTTTTTTAACCTCTTTGTGCTTCAGTTTCTTCGTATGAAAATTGGGAATAAATTGGGAATAATAGTCCCTCCATCACAGGGTTCCTGGGAGAGGTAAAGAAATTAATCAAGGAAAAATCCCTGGCACATAGTAAGCTCTGCTTAAGGGTCAGCCATGGCTACGAAACACATCCTTTCTTCCTCTCCCACCCTCCGTTGTCTCTTCATCCCTCCCTCCCTTTATTCCCCAAAACACTGAGCTTAGCTTCTACTATCCCCCAGCCACTGAGGTGGGTGCTCAAGGATAAAATGATAAAATGCCTGTCCTTAGGGAGCCCCCATCCAGAGTGGGGCACGGGCTAGTCAATTAATAAATGATAAGAGCCTTGAAAGAGGGAAGCAGAGGATGGCTTGGCCCTTTGGGAGCACAGAGCAGGAGGTCCACCCCAGCCGTGAGTGGGACTGATTCAGACACGCGTCTCAGAGTTGGTGAGATGGGGCAGTGTGAGCGTGCGCCCAGAGGGGTGCTTGAGCAGGACCTGGAAGGGGAAATGCAAGCGTGTCTGAAAGACGAGTGCTGGGTCAGAGGGGGGCTTGGCTCTTGAAGAGCTGGGAAGGGAGACAGAGCTCATCAGAAAGGGTCCCGTTGGTGATCCTAAGCAAGTTAGACCTTATATTGAAGGCAATGGGAAATCCTCTGGAGAGCTTTTGTAAGCAGGTAGGGTGGAGGGCAGTGGCTGAGGTGTTAAAAGCTGCATTCTAGAAGAACCATCCTCTTCTCTCTGTTTTTCCCAGTACTGTTTGGTCCAGGTTTGCCTCTCCTTGGACTGCTCTTTATCTGGCTTCTTTGATAGCTCTACTTCCATCACCTTCACTCAACAAGGAATTTTTATTGAGTCCCTACTGTATGCCAGGCCCTGTGCAAGTAACCAGGACTGAGATAAGGACCACGATGGCCCACTTCGTTGTGTTCATTGCTTTCTGGACACATCATGAGTGTCCACACCTTCTGCTTTTGATCCTCTGAAAACAGCTTTGTCTTTCCTCTTCTTGTTTTGAGCAAGAAAGTTCACATTTTATTTTACATATATTTGTATATATAGACACATATGGAGAGAATCTTAACCTTACTCAGTTTACATAGTCACTTATTTTTAATATTTAAATAAACTTTTAAATTTTAGGATAGTTTTACATTTACAGAAAAGTTGCAAAGACAGTACGCAGAGTTTCTGTGTACCCCACGCCTAGTTTCTCCTATCATTAGCATCTTATATGATTATGGTACATTTGTCACAATTAACAAACCAATATTGATACATTATTATCAATTAAACACCATACTTTATTCAGTTTTCATTAGGGAGGAGGATGTTTGTGTCTCGAGTGGGGGCTTTTCTGCTTCACTCATCCCTTTTGATCTAGGGACATCTGTCAAGACCTAAATGTGCTTTGGCAGACCTGGAGCAGCAAGAATTAATATTGGTGTATACACAATCTGTCACTGGAAAGAGAAACTTGATGATAATGATGAGATTTTAATAAAAGAGGTGGGGAGTAAGAACAAAAGGTTGATGTGACCAGAAAACCCACCCTCATCCTCTTCTCAAAATATTGATGGAGTACTTGATACTGCTGGACTCTTCACTTAGGGCGTTCACGAAGGGAGAAAGAACACAAAAGCAGAAATGGAGCAGTGAGAATTCCAAGAGTCCTCTCCAGCACCATTGCACTCCTGACCTTTGGCTTTGGTTCCCTCATCCATGAAATAAGGGGCCCTTCCACCTGTAGAGTGCTCTGGGTTTTTTTGATGTCTTGGCCCATCATCTGGGGGACACTGATGTCAGGAAACACAGGAAGATGTTTCAACTGATGGAAAGACCAAGGTTTTCAGATAACTGGTCTGCAACCTGTGAGTGACTCAAGAAGGGAATTTGCAGAGGACTGCAGGGACCTTGCCTTGTCCCTGTTTCTGGGTAGTCAGGGATGCTATTGAAAGGATATGGTCCCATTCATCATGATGAAATGAGTTTCAGTTTGGTTTAGCTGGGCCACCATGTACAGTTGCACAGGTTGTCCACTGCTCAAGGGTAGTTGGCCATATGACCAAGTGAGCCTGGAATCCAGCCCTACCTCCTCTTATGTAGCTCTGTGCCCTGATTTGAGGATGCATCAGCCCACAGGAAGAGTGCTTTCAGCAAACTTTTGCGTGCAGAAGGCTGCCATTTTCTAATGGGTACTGAGGCATTCTATAGACTAGCACTTTAAGCTTTTGTTTGAAACGAGAAATGATAGTACAGATGGACAAGAACTTCTGCAGTGGGGATGCACGCAGTGGGGTAGGAGTAAGTCAGGGCAAGTGGGTTACGGGGCTCAGGATTTAGCAAACCAGAGCAGGAGAACCAGGAGACCGACGATACCTGCTTCCTGCGGCCCATATCACCTGTGTCTGCACTGATCGGAAAAGGCAGCTTGCTGTCCCCTCAGGAGCTCTACACCTCAGTTTAAAACCAGAACAGGCTCATATCAGATCTGGCCTTGTGTAGAGGAATCCTTTTGTGTATTTCTTCATCCAAATCCTTTGCTTGAGAAATGTTTCTTTTACAACACCCCTTCCGCTTTAGCCTTTTTTGTATTTCATGTTGATTATTTTGGACAAACAACTGATTCCCAACACCTGATGTTGTCCTAGGTCTTGAGCCATGTCCAGGGTTTCACGGTATGTCCACACGCGGGATTTCACTGCAGCCTTGATGGGTTGAAGCCATCTACGGCCCTACGAGTACACTGGTGCTCATTGACGCCAGAGGAAAGGGTCACAGCCAGCGCCTTGAGTGGCCCTCCCGGCCTACTGCGGGAAACAGCCTAGAGGTGAGTGAAGTCCATGACGATGAGAGTAGTAACATTAATCCTAGCTCTGCTAGTTGAGTGTTCACTCTGTTAGGGACGTTCTAAGGGTTCCGCAAGCATGATTTAATCCTTAAAGCCACCGTAAGAGAAAGATACTGTTATTCTTCTCCCCATTTGAGAGCTGAGAAAACTGAGGCTCAGAGAGGCTCAAGCACCCCAGAGGGTGGTTTGTGCATCCGGGAAGTGCGTGCTGTCTGGTAGGCTTGCTAGGTGGAAGCACTTGATGACCGATCATCTCCATTTCGAAATAAAGATTTGAGTCAGCGTGGATGGCAAAGGGAAGAACCAGGGAAGAGCTGCCCGGAGCCCTGTGCCCTCACAGGGCAGGGCCGGGAGAGCAGACTGGGCCCCTGATAGCCAGTTTCTGGGCTTGGGCAGAGGGCCGGATCCTCGGACTGCTTTCCACGTGGGCTAAACTTCTGGTTTGCTGTGACTGTCCTGACCTTGTGTCAATTCCATTTTCATTTTCATCTTTTATGGTTACTGGCTTTGTGGAAAAACCTGTGATGGCTCATTTGATTTTAATTAAGTAGCTTGTTTTTCTTGTTTGCCTGGCATGGGCACTGGACTGTTGGCAAGTATAACCCAAGTGTGCGCCATGCTTTATGTGATCCCAGCTGCCTGGTCTACGATTGGCCGACATTCTGTGGCCTGAAGGCCAGGCCCTGTGTGTCTGGCTTTTCTAGAAACGCTGATCGCTTTCCACTACTCCAATATTGGTGGTCATTTTGACTTACTTTCTTAAACTTTATTTCCAAGCAAATGTTTCAAGAGAAAGCAAGAGGCTGCGTGGCGGCCAGATGAGGTCTTTGAGGTGACTATTACCCAGGTTTTTGGTGAGCCCACGAAGCCACGGGCCGTGTTCTCTGACATCATAGGAATCCCTTCCCACACCATGTGTCACGCCTTGAATCACCTGAGGGACCAGTGGTTAGAGGGTTTCCAAAGCCCGTACATTGTCTTACAGAGGTTATGCAAGAGAGGCAGACCAAGGGCCTGAGGGAAAAATGATAATTGTGTGTGTGTGTGTGTGTGTGTGTGTGTGTGTGTGTGTGAGAGAGAGAGAGAGAGAGAGAAATGTCAGTCCCTACCACCCTGTCCCCAATGTGGTTTCCTCCGGTTCAAGGAGAGGAAAGCAATATGAAGCACATTATATCCCATTCTAGACTATTCTTTTGGCCAGGGGTCAGCAAATATTTTCTGTAAAGTAAACATTTTAGGCTTTGCAGGCCAAGAGGCCAATTGAGGGCATTATGTAGGTACTTACAGAATAAGAGAAAAGCACATTACACAATTATTTCATTGATAACATTTAAAATATAATCATCAAATGCAGTTTTTTTGTAATATAGGTCTAATAATGAGAAGAATGGGATTCTTTGGTGGGGGGATGCTAACTTTTTGCCTCATTGGAGTTTACAGTTAGTGTTCTGTCTCATCAGATCGATGGCAAATGTTCATCTGTGAAAATCATTCTCTGCTCCCTGGGCAGATTTGGCCCACACGCTGGAGTTTGCTGACTCCTGCTTGTGGCTAAACCTTCCAGGGCCTTCTCTGTGAGAGCTTAAAATCCAATTCACTTATCAGAGCAAATCAGGAAATTAAATTTTCCTGCCTCATGCTTCTGCTCATCCATTCACTCACTCATTCAGTGGACATTTATTGAGCTTATAATACGTGCCGGGTACTGGCTGAGGTGCAGGGACACCCAGGAGGGAGATGCGCACTCTGTGGCCACTGCCTGGTGAGGGACCCATGCCCACCTCACCATGTGCTGTCCCGGAAATGTGTGGAACAAAGACGAAGCGGTGCAGATGTTATTTAACTACATCCATGAATTCTATGAGAAAAAATGAGTTTGTGCAATCCTAAATCAAGTACACATTTGTGGCAAAGTTGAAGAAAAGACACTAAAATTTTTTAAGGAAAAGGAAAAATTTCCCCATTTCTCCCTCATTTCCCCCCAGTCCTGCTTCCCAGAGCTCACTGCTCTTAACATTTTGCTGAGGATCCTTTTAGCCACCCCTCACCCGCCCTCACGTACACACAGATAAACCCAAACTAACAAAAATGCACCGGATCGATCTGGCTCGGGTTATATTTAAATCATTTTATAAATGACTTTTTCCTACACGCCCCCATTTCAGTTTTGAAATTTTACAGCATAGTCAATAAATGATTTGGCAACAGTTACGAAATCACAAGTTCCCTTCTTCCCACATAAGCTTTTGCAAACCACAGGCGAGGTTCTGCTGATGGTAAAGCGGCCAGTTTTAGGAAGTTGGTTAGTTTCTGTCCATGTGCGCCCGTAGCACAGCGGGTACCACTCCGCAGCACTGCAGGTTCTAGAATGAGCTATTAGGAAGGACGACCCCAGAAGAGTGGTAAGCTCCTTCTATTCTTTTAACAAAGCTTTCCAAGAAAATAGAGGATTTCTGACCCCGAAATAGGGTTTGGTGGCAAATGGTGTGACCAAAGAAAGTGATGGATGGGCAAATCAATATAAAAAGGCGAAGTCTTGGGGCAACTCTAAATGTAGACAGAGTGGTCCAGTGTGCAGGAAATTTCAAAAATCAGATGCTGCAGTGGTCTTATCATTTTCAAGAGGAAAAGAAGCAAATTCCAAGTTAGGAATTGAACTGGGGTATGACTTTCTGGTCCTGCCAGAAATGGTATTCTCATCTAGAGTGAAAGGGCTGGGGGTAAAGCAGGTGGGGAGGTGTTTGTCCTTTGCTCTTTGCACAGAAAAGGACAGCCTCTCTTGGCTCACTCTGGGCCGCTTGCTAGTGCCTGGGCAAAGCCCAAACTTCATCTGCTACCAGGAGCTTAATGTGTATTCATAATTGCTACTTTTCTTGTTCAAAGTTTTTAAGTAAAGATGTTACTATTTCCGTAATCATATTCTATAGTGTTTAGACATAGCAGGTGGTCAGCATTTGTTACCGTCAGGAACTGTCAGATTGAAAACCTTTACAATTTTTTAAAAATGGTATGTTTTCTAGAAAATTCAATGAGATTTAAGAGCCATTGCAAAGACTGATTTCAAGAGACTCCCATCCCACATTTACCTTAGTATCTTTTTTTCCACGCTCATTTAGTGCTTATTGAAGTTCTTGGAGTTATTTTTTTTTTACCAGTATTTAATGTATATATAAGCTCTTGAAGTTCATTTTTTGTATCCAGTGATGCACATTATAGACCTTGAAAGTAAATTAAGTCTACCCTGAAATCGATGCTTTACAAAATGACTGCAAGGGCTCATAAGGAATTAGGCCAGCAGGGCCAATGACATAGATGGAATTGCATTTGAACGTATCCAATTTTGACTTGATATTTGTAAACTGCTGTGATAGCCAATATAATTGTATTATAAGAAAGTGGAAATAAGATAAAATAAAACTAAACTGGGAAAATGCCCCCCCACCCCCGTCATTGGTGGAGGGTGGAAGGCAAGGACCTAGCCGACTCCTGGCCTCAGGGAGAGGTTCTTAGCCTTGACTGTATACTAGAATCATAGAGTGAGCTTTAAAAAATCCCGCTGTCCAGGCTGAACCACAGACTAATGGAATCAGCATCTCCGGAGTGGGCTGGGGCATTCGTAGCTTTTCAACTTTCCAGGTATCTCAATGGGCAGCTGAAGTTGAGGGCCACTGTCTTCGGGCAGCATCTGAACAGCTCTTTTGGTCCTTTCCTTAAGGAGCACAGACTTTTTTAGGGGCTGACAAGGCCTCCAGGAAGACCCAAAGCTTATTCATTAGCCCCTTAGCTTGATTCCAGAAAGCAAAATCAAAGTTCCTTGTATGCCTTATCTGAAAAGCCGAGGCAGTGGATCAGGGCGAGGGCACTTGATCAAGTCCATTCTTCATTCTGCTTCTCATTCTTTCATGTAATAGTCCTGCAAACTGCACGGGGGTTGATGAGAGAGAAGGCAGTCCCATGGAAACCCAGACTGACAGTATCAGGGTATGTCTCGCAGGGGAGGACGTCATGACCCAGGGTCAGGCTTGGAAACTCAGTTGGATATTATTTGTGTGTCTCAGCATCACCTCTGGGGTCTACTGAGGGGGATGTCATTCCAGTGAAGTACCATTTGAGTTCAACTGAGTTACTAAATGGAGTTGAGGGATTTGTTATTTTTTAAAGTATTATCCCCAATTTAGAACTATTCAGGGCTATGCAGACACAGTACATTTAAACGCATAACCCATGGTTCTGGATCGGCATTAACAATACAGGCTGTGTTGACTCTTCAAGTGGTTACGAAGAGCCACTAGCTGGTGAATATGTCTAGAATCAGTGGATTTCCAGTTGTTCTATGGAATTACAGAGCACCTGGAAGTGCTCTCTGTTAGACTGATCAGTGGAAAGGCAAGGTGGGTAATACCCCCAGCATTTAATTCCAGAAGGTTCCAGGTATGGCTTTGGTGTTTCTGCCAAAAATTGAAACCAGATCACTGCCAACCAGCCACTTGGTACCAATTTGTTAACTACGTGGGTACCTCTAGGCTCAATTTTCCGGTCTGCCACCTACCATCTAAGTGACCTTGGGTAGATGAGCCTCTGAGCCTCAGGTTCCATGTCTGTAAAATGGGGGCTTATGATAGCACCCACCTCACTGATTTTTATGAAGCTCAGACAAGAAAATGCATGACTTGTGCTCCCAGTGTTTGCTTCATGATAAAGCACTCAACAAACACACGCTACCGTATTTCCTGGAATTCAAACAGCATAATTTTTCATATTTTTATGTGTATGAAATCGATACGTGCATTTAATGTGGTAGTGGTTTCTTTTGTCTTCCAAAGCTGTTAGTGAATCCATCAAACGTGGAATGGATCAAGTCAAGTATCTATTATTAACTGTAAATTTCATGTAAGGTGACAAATTCTGTGTGCCCAGCCATTTCTTTATTAATTTACTTTCATAATATCAATATATCAATATCAATAATATCAATATATCAATATACATAATATCAGTATATCAACTGCAAACACATCAGAACCCATGAAAAATTAGAAATATTTCCAGTTTGGCAAACATTTAGTTCTGGTGGAGTCCTGCGTCATGCTCAAACAGCTAAGTCATTCAGTTGGGCGGATTCATCACATTTTATAATCAGTAGGTGCCCTTGATCCTTTCATGTCAGGGGGGCATCAGCAGGCTCTATTCTGAGGAAGGGGTGCAACTGGGGAGATGGTCTGAGGCAAATCACCTCTTAGCAAAGGAAGCTTTCGAAGAGGGAGGAGGGAGGGGGCAGCTTTGCAACATCGCTGCTTGCAGGCTAGGAAAGGGGTGTGAAAAGATAAAAAGCTGTCTGTTCCAGGAAGGCAGCTGTAGATGCCTCACAGACCACCTTCACCCTAGATTGTGTTATGGTAAAACCTGCAGGGTTTATTTTAGCCTCGCATGGTGGGGTTTGCTGCCTTTGCACCCTGCACTTGTGGTCTCTGCCCTGCCTACAGCTCTCGCCCCATGGGCTGGACTCTGAGCGTGGCTCCTGGGCTCACTCTGACTCCCAGGGTGCACTCAGCTAAGGCAGGCTTTATTGAGCTGTTCCTGAAACTGCACTGGCCTTTCACAGTTATGTTTTTGGTGTCCACTGGGGCCCAAGGTGAAAAGGAAGATGTAGGTGGGGACTGAGATAGGTTGTTTTCGTTGTGCCGTTTGGTTCCCTCAGAGCCCAAAGGAGAGGATGGGCTTATCGTATACCATGGACCCAACCAAAGATCTGATTTGCCGTGGAAACCAGAAAAACGGTTGTGAAATTACTTCCTCAGTAGCATGCAATGCTATATTCGGCAGGGTGCAGGAAGTGAAGCAAATTTCTTTCTTTTTTTTTTTTTTTTGCGGTATGCGGGCCTCTCACTGTTGTGGCCTCTCCCGTTGCGGAGCACAGGCTCCGGACGCGCAGGCTCAGCGGCCATGGCTCACAGGCCCAGCCGCTCCACGGCATGTGGGATCTTCCCAGACCAGTGCACGAACCTGTGTCCCCTGCATCGGCAGGTGGACTCTCAACCACTGTGCCACCAGGGAAGCCCACAAATTTCATTTTTGCGTGTGATTCATATGCTTTCTTTTTTTTTTAAATTAAGGGTACTTTAATTAATTAATTAATTTTTGTCTGTGTTGGGTCTTCGTTTCTGTGCAAGGGCTTTCTCTAGTTGCGGTGAGCGGGGGCCCACTCTTCATTGCGGTGCGCGGGCCTCTCACTGTCGCGGCCTCTCTTGTTGTAGAGCACAGGCTCCAGACGTGCAGGCTGAGTAGTTGTGGCTCACGGGCCTAGTTGCTCCGCGGCATGTGGGATCTTCCCAGACCAGGGCTCGAACCCGTGTCCCCTGCATTAGTGGGCAGATTCTCAACCACTGAGCCACCAGGGCAGCCCCATATGCTTTCTTTAAAGAAATGGGTCTTGATTTTTTTTTTCTGTGTGTTCCAAGGCAGCACCCAGCGAAAGACTGAGACCGTGTAGACCCAGTCATCCTTAGCAGGGTGTGCTATGCACTGAGCTCACTGGCCTGACCAAAGGGCTTTTTCTGGCAGCTTGAACTTGTCTCAGCAGTGGGTTCCACCGGTCAGCACTTACTCCCCTGCTCTCTGCTTTTCCCATCTGTTTCCTGGGGCTGCTGTTGCAGAGTACCACCAATCTGGTGATTCAAAACAACAGAAATTTATCCTCTCCCAATTCTGGAGGCCGAAAGTCTGAAATCCAGGTGTTGTCAACAAGGTGGGTTCCTTCTTGGAGGCTGAGAGGGAAAATCTGGGCCATGCCTTTCTCCCAGCTTCTGGGGGTGGCCGGCAGGCCTTGACGTTACTTGGCCTGTAACTGCATCCTTCCAATCTCTGCTCTATCTTCCCATGGTCTTCTTTCCGAAGTGTGTCTGTGTCCACACTTCCCTCTTCTTATAAGGACATCAGTCATTGAATTAGGGCCCATCCTAGTCTGGTATGACCTCATCTTAACTTGATTCCATCTGCAAACACCCTATTTCCAAATAAGATCACGTTCACGTGTAGAGGCTAAAACGTCAACATGTCATTTTGGGGGGACATAATTCAACCTGCAACACTCTCCTTTTCTGGTCCTCTTTCCTGCCACTTACACTCAACCCTCGGCCTTCCCTTCAGCCTCTCCCAATCTAATATTTACCTTGCTTTTCAGTAAGTGTCTCCTACTTATCTTGTCGAGTTTCTGGGGACCTGATCTGAGCCCCAAGATGCCATCATTGACAACCAGGGCCAGTCTCACTTTGGGCACAGAAGACACAGGACCTCGGGCCCATGATGCTTCAAGCAAAGATTTTAATTTCTTTTAAAAATCAGCAAAAGAATGAATATATTCCAGCCTGGATTATATTTGTCTTTATACCAACGTGGTCATAAAATATAATTTTTACTATTTTTTTTCTTTATGGAGGAAGGGGCACATGAGGGCCAAAGTATCTCAGGCCCATGAAAGTCATAACTTGGTCCCATTGACAACCACATTCTCTTTTCTGATTTAATATATGCCAAGGACAATTCAGGAATCGCTAATGTGTTTCCAGTGAAGGAGGTTTAAATATCAACTCACAGTCCCTTACCTGAAACCTGTAGGCCAGAATTGTGTCAAAGCTCAGAATTTGTATTTTAGCAAGAGAAGATGGTATATGCAGGATTTATTAGAGAATACTTCCGATGGGCCGACGGCAGCCCTGATGATTACGCACAATGGCGATTTCTGCCGTGAAACCAGAGGGCTCCTGCTAAGTGGATAAATAAAGATCATACTAGCCTTAGGTCAGTTTGGATCAGGTTTTGCTGCCAAATAAGTTACGATAAAGCCCGAAAATCTTCTGGTGCTCAGATTTTTAAGGATTTCAGAATTGCAGAGGGAGGATTGAGCATCTGTACAAGACAGGATGTGCATTAAGAAAATGAAGCATCAACCACTGTCCTGGGTGCCAGAAGACCTGATTCTATCAATTGCTGTGTCTGTGATTTGTCTTTTCTTTTTGCTTGTGTCCATCTTTCTTTGATGCTGGGTGAATTCCAGGTGACTGGCGCTGACGGTTATTTCATACTCAGGAGTGGGACACCAAACAGCTAATGAGAAGCTTCAGCTGCAAGGACTGGCCTTCCCAACGATAGGTCCCAGCGTAGGATGGGAGCCAGCTTCTGGTTAGGGTGTGCGAGTGTGATTGGGGATTTTTGTTGTGGTGCAGGGCCAGGGCTAGGGTGAGGAGAGTGAAGCACTTGGTTTGGTGGAGAATTTCGGGGAGATAGGGTCCCCAAAAGCTCAGCAATCAACATACATAATATCTTAGTGCTGTATTTTAAAAATCAAATAGGCAAACTCTGGTCCTCAGGCTGGTTGCCTATTTCGGTAAATCAAGTTTTCTTGGAACCAGAGCCGGGATGGGGTGAGGCAGGTGAAACACTGCTTTGCAAGTGCAGGGTCCGATTCTGTCGTTATTTAATGCTGATATATAGTCCATCAGGGACTTTACTTTTTTAAAACTATATTCATCTTGATGACTACATTTTTGGGGGTCCCCTTAAATTTTACACTCATGGCCCTGCTGCTGTGCCTGTCCATCTTCCCAATGAGATGCTCCAATCTCCTGCCTGGGGTGCTGGAGTGGGGCGTTTATAAACCAGGTGGATGTCAGAGGCCCCAGAGCCAGAGGAGGGAAGAGGATGGGATTCTGCGCTCCAGATACACACTGTGCTTTAACCCTCCTGTTTGCTTTTTGACAGTTTGCCCCTGCCTTCACTTGTGCCTGAATTCCTGAACCAAAGGCTCTGGATTCAACCTTTCGAGGTAGTAAGTCTCAGGGAGTGAATCAGGAGGGGTCTAACTTTTCATGCAGACTTTCAACCCGTCCCCTGTGCAGCCCTGCCAGGCATACCGCCGCCCTGACTCTTGCCCGCCGGCCCCGGAGCCTTTCCGGGCTTGTATGCTGTGAATTGACCTCGCTCTGGTTGGCTTTAGCCTTCTCTGCTCTGCTGTGCCACTTACCACTCATCCACCTGCTTTCCATCTTCCTCAACTTCATACACATTCCTTGTCTGCTGTGGTCTCCTCTCATGCCCTTTCTCACCTTCCTCAACTTCATACACATTCCTTGTCTGCTGTGGTCTCCTCTCATGCCCTTTCTCACCTTGTAGGCTTCTAGCCCTTTGCTCTCACTTTAATGGGCGCCTTCAGCTGTCAGCCTCAAACAACAGAAGTCTCTTTTCTTTCTTCCTTCCTTCCTCTCTCTCTTCCTCTCTCTCTTTCTTTCTCTCTCTGTCTCTGTTTTTTTTTTTTTTTTTTTTTTTGCGGTACGCGGGCCTCTCACCGTTGTGGCCTCTCCCGTTGCGGAGCACAGGCTCCGGACGCGCAGGCTCAGCGGCCATGGCTCACGGGCCCAGCCGCTCCACGGCATGCGGGATCCTCCCGGACCTGGGCACGAACCCGCGTCCCCTGCATCGGCAGGCGGACTCTCAACCACTGCGCCACCAGGGAAGCCCTGTCTCTCTCTGTTTTATTTGCATAGTTTTACTTTCTACCTTATTTGCATAATTGCCCCTTTTCCCTCTATTTACAGAGTTGCCATTTCTCTTCTTTTTCTTCCGCGTCTCCCGCGTAGTTGCCATTTCTCTATTTTATTTGCTGAGTTGCCATTTTTCTTCTGCCAGGCTGGATGTTTTTTATTCATTGGTTACACCTTAATGGGGATAAATTCTCTCCAGTATCCTTCTTAGTTCTCTGGGACCTGGTTCCCTTTGATGTCCTTTGGAGCCAAGACTTTTGGAAGCCAGAGGCATGGGTGTGGCCAGGAGGAGGAACTTGGCTGGAAAGGTGTGACTCTTGCTGCCCAGGGCTTTGGGCTCTGCTGTCTCACCTCAGAGCCCTTGAATGTTTATGAGCTCTTGCAGTCCGTTTTGCATCTGTGAGGCCCTGAGGTGGATGGAGAAGCCTGAACAATCAGGGTTTTCTCTTCAACATCTTTGCTAACTGCCTGCTCCCCACCTCCCACTCTTCCTGTCCATGTACTTCTCTTCAAACTGAAGTTATTTGGAACTTGTCAACTCCTGTTCTTACCTCAGGACACATTCTCGGGAGGGTGGAGTTAGGAACGTCAAGCTCTTCACTCAGAAATCCTTTCTGCAATGTTCTGCTCATTTCCATGTTCCAAGCTTTGTTTTAAGTTGCCTCAGATTCTCTGGGAGGCCGTTTTCATCCTGAAGTGTCAAAAGGCTCTTCTTCTGGTCTCCGGCGCCTCCTAGAGGCTTTTCTCCTCAATTGCTCAGTGTTGTGTGACAGTCATGTTTGGAATTAGATGTTGAGGCCTTAACTTGAGGCTAGGAAGGCTGCACAGCACCGCCCTGTCCTCTGGACCCCCCCAGGTAACCACATAAAAGTGTCTTGCCTACCAACAGCACTCTGTTTACCACTCTAAGAGAAGAGTCTGCAACCACCTGGCCATCTGTTCCCCAGGGGACTTTTTAAAAATGAATTTGAAAATTTTTTTATTAAGCTATAATTAAAAAGTATAATAGGAAGCTGACAAGCAGTGCCTCAGCCAGGTGATCAGGGTCCACACCAACAGTGAAAGTTGTGTATGTGCCCTAGGTGAGCTGTGACTCGAGTGGCACTTGACCTCTCAGGTTGTCCTCCCCCAAACCCATTACCCCAGTCTAATCACGACAAAGACGTCAGACATATCCCAACTGAGGGGCAGTCTACGTGACCATCCCCTTTCCCATCCTTATTTTGCTCCCTAGTACTTTCCACCATCTAACATCTTGTAATGTACCCTCCGAAGGGGCAGGTAATTTCATCTGTTTTGTTCATTGCTATATTCCCAGCTTGAAAACAGTCCCCAAGGGGATTCCCTGGTGGCACAGTGGTTGAGAGTCCGCCTGTCGATGCAGGGTACGCGGGTTCGTGCCCCGGTCCGGGAAGATCCCACATGCCATGGAGCGGCTGGGCCCGTGAGCCATGGCCGCTGAGCCTGCGCGTCCGGAGCCTGTGCTCCGCAACGGGAGAGGCCACAACAGTGAGAGGCCCGCGTACCGTAAAAAAGCAAAAACAAAAACAAAAAAAACAGTCCCCAAAATAAAGTACATGCTTAATAAATATTTTTGAATGAATGAATAAGTGAATATAGAGCTACCTTTTCCTTTTTAATTGCTGCATAGTATTCCATTGTATGAATATAACATCCTGGTTTATTTAACAAGACCACTACTCATAGGCATTTAGATTATTTCCAGTCTTTTGCTATTGCTAACAGCCCTGCATGGAACATCCTTGTATATAGGCATTTGTACATGTGAGGGTCTCTCTTACAATCTGCTTCTAGAATTAAAATTGCTGAATCTAAGTATATCTCTCCAATTTTGATAGATATTACAGATTTCTCTCCATCTTAGAGGTGGCCTCACCTACGCAGTAGAATCAGTGAAAAATGGTATCTCTGTAATTTTTTGAGTGAAGTTGAGTATATTTTCCTTTAAGAGCCATTTGTGTTTCCTTTCTGTGAACTGTCTGTTAATATGTTTTTGTTCATTTTTTATTGAATAACTTGTCTTTTCAGTTATGCTTAAAAAGTCTTTACATATCAAACATATCACCCCCTTATCTGTGATATGAACTGCAAATACTTTCTCCTACTTTATTTCACTTTTGGCATTGCTTACTGTGCTTTTTGTGAGGCAGAATTTACATCTGTGTGTGGTTTAACTGGTCAGTCTTTGCTTTTTTTTTTTTTTTTGACCTCTGCTCTATTATTTTTTCATGATTCTGGAGTAACTAGGCAATGCAATTAGACAATAAAAATAAATTAGATTGCATAAAGGGTGATAAGATCATCATTATTTGTAGACGGTTGAATTGCTTAGCCAAGAAAATCACATGGAGAGGCAACTATTCCAAATAATCAGAGAATTTAGTATAGCGATTTGGTATAAAATTAATATATAGAAATCTACAGTTTTAGTGTACACCCGTGAGAACCTGTTAGAAGGTAAGATAGGAGTGATCCATTCACAAAAGAAGAATGATGAACAGGACTTGCCCTATCAGATGCCAGCATACCTAAAAACTGTAATTATTAAGACATGTGGTACCAGCATGTGAATGATGAAGAGATTGGCGAAATTGAGTAAGAGTCTAGAAATAGATCGAAATACATAGGAAAGTTAGCATATGATAAAGGGAGCAATCAGATTGGTGAGCAAAAGATTATTCAATAAATGATGGTGGGGCAACCAGGTCTCCATTTAGAAAAAAATAATGTGGGTCCCCACCTCACATTTTATGCCAAAACAATTTCAGTGGGATAAGATATTTCAATAGAAGAAAATGAAATCATAAAAGTACTAGAAAAACAGGTGCTAAAATTGTTGTTGTAGAACTGAAATGTGGAAGATCCTTTATGGCTTACACTGCCCTGGATCTCATTCACACTCATGGCTGTACTTGTCATGACTCCCAAATTCATCCCTGTACCAGAACTCTCCTCTGAGTCGGAGATGCACATATGTAACTGCCTACTGGATGTCTCCACTGGAAGATCACAAACTCAGCTCAAGTTCAGCATGTCAAATTTAATTAATACTATTCACTCCCCGCTTCCCCAGCTCCAAATGATCTTTTCCCTCAGTGAATAGCACCCTCTCTCTCATTCATCTAGTTGCACAGACCAGAAACCTGGAAGTCACCGTGAATTCTTCCCTCTCCCTCATAATCCAACCTCCCCATTATAATCTATTGCCATGTTTCTCAGTGTTACTTCCTAAGTATCTCTTGAATCCATTTCTCTTTATCTCCATTGCCACCAACTTGGTTCACGCTACCATCACCTTGCTCCTGAAGGTCTGTGCCCTCTTGCCAGTGATGACTGTAGAATAATGAGCATGGTACCACCTTCAAAGGCTTGCATTGCTCCTCAGATCAAGATCAAAATCCACTCTCATCTTTTCTTAACATCCCTGACTTTCTTTCAGTCCCTTACATTCACGTGCTCTTTCAGACGAGGACTGAAAAATGTCCATTGACTGTAGTGACATGGAGATGCTGAGGACCTCTGCAACATCTCTGTTTGTCATCTCTCCCGTGCCATTCCAATCCTCTTAGCCCCACTTCTTATTCTGAGTCCTACTGTTGCAAGCAGTTCTCTGCAGGTTTCAGTCGACTTTGAGGACTTGAAACCTGGTGTGCTTTGTCTCAGGCCCACACCATGCCCCTCTTGATTCCTGTCCAGGGCTCCTCTGAAGGCACAGCACGGGAAAATCAAAGGAATACACGCAGGGCCTTTGCATACGCTGGGACATTCTTTTGACCTCTTTCTGTTTCATACATGCCAAGTCAACCTTAAAATCACAGTTCAAGTTCCACTTCCTCAGGGAAACCTTTCCCAGCCTCCGTGAAGAGGTCAAATCCTCCTCTTTTTAGGCTCTTCTAGTGTCACTTACTTCTTTGTGTCACCGTTGAAATCTCGTAATGTTGTGTTTCACTCACGTCTGTTTAACCCACTAGACTGTAGAGCTAACTAATAAGCTGTGCATGTCATCAAATAGACCCCCCCAAGGCCACCCACTAGCTAGGAGAGGACAAGGAAGAGTCAGGAAGTAACTTCCAGAATGTTCACACTTGGAAGTCACATAGTCTTAGATCTGCTTAGGTGCTGAGCAAACATAATATTGCCTGGGTTACTTGCCAAAGTTCCTCGCATCCCCGAGCTTCGTTACCTCCTTGGCACACCTGTGTCTCCCAGTGGAGATGTAGAACTTTGAGACCTGGAGTGGCATCTGCAAAAGCTGCATATTTTC